CCTTTGTATATATACATATTTATAAAGTGTATATATATAAGTATAATTATATATTTTTTAGACTTTAGCAATGAGACATCCAGTTAATTTGAACTTTGAAGCATCTGTTTATCATGTCACCATGTTGTGATTCACAGCGCCGTCTCAAAGGAAGATAACGAGGAAGACGATGACGATGAAGACGAAGACAGTAGCGATGAAGATGATGAGGATGAAGATGAGGATGAGGAGCCAGCTGTGAAGCCTCCCTCTCAGTCGGACCCTCACATCTACACGGCCCTCAGCGACTTCACAGGAGAACAGGAAGGAGACCTGTCGGTTCAGGTGAAGCACTTCCTGTTTCACACAGACAGAAAAAGACAGAAGAACTTGTTTGATTATAACAAAGTGTGTTTGTGAGTAACACATGAGTGAAGTCACATGTCTGCCTGCTGTTTCTCAGAGAGGGGAGGTGTTGAGGATTATCAGGAGGACAGCAGACGGGTGGTGGTTAGCTCAGGACGCTAACGGAAAGAGAGGAGTCGTCCCGAAGACGTACCTGAAGGTGTAGCTCCTCAAACCTCCTGTTGTTCCTGTAAACCGGTTAAAACTAGAGACGCTCCAACATGGCCGCTGTTTGAGTTCACGCGCTTTTAAATAATACATCTCATTACATTTATGTCGTTGTATTTATTTGTTACTTTTTTGTTTTTACAAAGGAAAAGCTCGGTGTCTGATCGGCAATTTAAACCACTCACTTTTCAGATTGGCTCCGGTGTTGACGATGAAGATGATGATGACGATGAAGATGATGACGACAATGAAGATGATGATGACGATGAGGAAGAGGGGGAAGAACTGACTGATGACCGAGAGCAACAGAGGTTTGTTTTTTTAAACTTTTTGCAGATTTATGTTTATTATTATAATATTGTATGTAGTCATAACTTATGTTCTCTGTAATATTGTAATATTTAAATATTATGTAGGTGGAGGCTTCAAATGAGCCCCGTTGGCTTTTTGCCTCTTCCTGCACTGTGATAATATTTATCTCCGTTATGTTTGTTTATATTTATTTTATTGTTTAAATCAGGGGTCACCAACCTTTTTGAAACTGAGCTACTTCAAGGGTACCGAGTAGTACGAAGGGCTACTTGTTTGATACAAACCTCCTGAATAACAAAGTTGCACAGATCACCTTTTAATAATAATAATAATAATAATAATAATAATAATATGTGTGGAGAGTCTGATCACATGTCAATGTTAATTATTCCTCACAATAATTCTTAACAATGATTTCCACAACATGATGGTAGAAACACAGATATATTTAAACATTTATTTCTGTTTCAACATTTGAAGGTCAGAGGTATCACATCTCTGATGTTTTAGTAAATATCTTCCTTGACAGTTTTGTATGAATAAGTACATTTGTAGCATTTGGTTCAAAATCACACCTGTTATATTGTTGTAAAAATTATCACTTCTAACATTTGTCATGAAATCATTAACTGTCATATCTTCACATCATGTCTCGTTGGTAATAACCACTTTTGTAACATTTTTGAACAAATCATGATCAACAAATCAACTCTGTCCCATGTTTATACAAATGATCAGTTATGAATGTCCTGTGTTGTTTGCTTTGGATCGGATGACATTCATGATCTTCACGACAGGAGTCATCACGTGATCAAAGCCGGTTACTTTTGCACATAGCGCCTGCTGGTGAATGATGCAGTGGTAGACATTGTGGGAACCTTTGCGTACCTTTTTCTCCATGAAGAAACCAGTAACCAGTCTCGTCTACGGCCGAGCGGGGGATCCAACCCTCCGAGGCGCGCGAGTATCTTCGGGCGCCCGCGTTCAGACCTCTAGTCTGGGCCTTTTCAGTCGGATTGCGTTGCCTCGCCTCTACCTCCGCCACCCAAGAGTTGTTGCCCCGCGGACTGTTCCGAGGACTGACGGACTTGATGACAGGGTGCACTCGCAGCGCGCGTCCGGTGAAAACGGGAAGCGCCCGCCATTCGGAACCTGAAAACCCAGTGCGGTACGGCAGCCTCTTCCTGGCTGTCCGCCGTGCGCCTCCGGGTACCCAACTCTCTTATGACAAGAAATATTGTCATTTTAAAATCTACAATAATGCAAGCGTTTTTGATTAAAAAAGAACAGCAACTAAAATGTTTAGAGGAGCTCCATGGTGACTAGTGCTATTTTTAGAACATGCTTTGCGGGCCACTCACGTGGTCCCTGCGGGCGATCAGGTGCCCTCGGGCACCATGTTGGCTACCTCTGGTTTAAATTGTGCAAAATTCAAAAGGAGTTAGTGACATCTAGTGGTGAGGAGGCACACTGCATCCAACTGAATGCTCCTCCACCAGCGTGTGGTTTGTCCGCTCTGGGCCACCGTAGTAACATGACGGACTCCGCCTCCTGCTCCCTACATGGATATCAGAGGACTCTAGATCCTACACACTGGTCCTTTAAATGGAAATGATTATTATGAAATTAATTATTCAATCAATTTGATCTGAATCCTTCTGTTGTTCAACAGCTCTCCACATTCCAACTGGAGCACCGTGAGAAAAGCTCTGACTGAGGTAAATATCAACAAATATTAAATACACAATATTTGATATTGTGTATGCAATACATTGCGTGTGTGTGTGTGTGTGTGTGTGTGTGTGTGTGTGTGTGTGTGTGTGACAGATTGATACTACAGATGTGCTCTCTGCGATGGGGGCGATACCTTCAGGATTCAGACCGTCATCTCTCAATAAACTGCTGGTGGAGGAAGGTCATTACACACACACACTTATATACACAAACACTTAATAAGGAATGCCAACCTAACAGGCCAACAGGTGCTGATTTTTACTGTTTTGTCAATAAAATGTCAGAAAATTGTAAAAGTCAGATCACCATTATTTCCCAGGTTCTACGTGACGTCTTCAGAACCAATCATAGAGACCATTTCTACCATATAGTATCAGTACTTCTTTATCTCATCATAATAATAGTTTGTGTCTTTTTTTTCCAGGTAAAACATATAGAGGGAGTCACTACGTTCAGCCCGAGCTCAGCCAATCACAGCTGTCCTTCAGCGACCTCTTCCTGGATCCAGACAGCGGCAGGGTGAGGCACTCACAGACGGTGTTAACGTGACAAGATATTAAACTTGGATTACGGCCATCGCCACGTTGTTTTTTCCGAAACCAGTGAACAGGAAGTGATCATATTTGGACTGAGGAGGAGTGACGTAGAGACGCCGTGTACGCACTCTGGTAGCGACCTGTCAATCACTGTGTAGCCCCGTCCTAAAGCATCCCCTGCTTTATGGTCTGTGTGACTCTAAATGGACCATAATGTACTAAATGAACATCATGCTGTATTGAAGAAGACTTGAAACTAGAGATTGAGACCATAAACTCATGTTTGCAATGTTTACTGAGGTAATAAATCAAGAGAGAAGTAGAGTCATTTTCTCATAGACTTCTATACAACCAGAGGAGTCGCCCCCTGGTGGACACTAGAGAGGATGCAGCTTTAACACATGAAGCATTGAACAGGGCCTGTGTGTGTGTGTGTGTGTGTGTGTGATGAATGTTTGTGTTATGAACATTACTTCCCTGAACAGAAACGTCTCTCTGTTTGTAGGTTCGATCTCGACAGGTCAGGACTTGTGTGTGTTTCAGTCTGTGGAGCTGCAGGATGATTCCTTCTCCCGGAGTCGGAGTTCAGGTCCTCAGCCGACACGTCCGTCTCTGTGCCTTCGATGGATCTCAGGTGCATTTCTGTTGTGAAGCAGGTTTTTACTTCCTTAGTCCACCTGTAAGTCTCTGCAGCGTGGACACTATTTAATGAATGATGTTCATTATTATCATTTCCTATCCTCTCCTGTTTCCTCCCCTGTTTCCTCTCCTCTCCCCTCTTGTTTCCTCTCCTGTTTCCTCTCCTCTCCCCTCCTGTTTCCTCTCCTCTGCTCCCCTGTTTCCTCTCCTCTCCCCTCTTGTTTCCTTTCTTCTCGTTTCCTCTCCTGTTTCCTCTCCTGCTTCCTTTCCTCTCCAGTAGAACTCAGGTGGAGTGTTCCTGTTGTCTCTGCAGCGTGTAAACGTTTTAATAAATGTTGTTGATTTGATTATTATTAGCTAAAGTTACGTAATTCTCTCTGTCGCTGTGTTTCAGTTGATGATTCGTCTCCTTGACTTGTTGGAAACAATCGTGACTCAGCTCAACTTTTATTCATTCATGACACAAACCAAATGATATAACGCACATTGTTCCTCTCTCGTTCTCTTATAAGATGATCTGTTCTTGTGTTTCAGGTGTTGAGTAACATCCACACAGTGAGGGCGACCTACAACTCCAAGAACCCCAAAACCTGGAGCTTCTCTCCTCGAGTATGTTTATATTATTATGATGAACATGTGAGGACACATAATGAAGATTAAATAACTCAATTATATTATTATTATTATGAACGTGTGAGGACACACATGAGGAGATTAAATAACTCAATCTTTAATCTCTAACTCCTCCAGATGACGGGCGTCCTGCCGTCCCTCCTAGACGGAGACTGTTTCCTTCGCTGCAACTCAGAGTCTCCTAACCTCGGAATCCTCTTTGAACTAGGAGTCTCCTTCATACGCAATGTGAGCACAAACACACACACACACACATACATACGTACACACCCCCCCACACACAAGTACACACACACACACACGTACACACACACACACACACACACACACACAGAGCAGAGCAGAGCGTGTTTGAGATCCTCCAGGTGTTTTAGTCCACAGGTGAGAGAGGAGACCTGAGCTGTGGCTGGTCCTTCCTCAAACTGACCGATGACACTGGAAACCCTCTCCCCAACAGGTACACACACACACACACACACACTCTCACACACACACACACTCACACACACACATATATATCGGTGCACGCAGTACATCCTTTTGTACATGTGCTCATTTATATGTTCACATCTATTCTATAATAATCTGCAATAATCTATAATAATCTAACCTGTGTGTAGGACCTGTGAGCTGCCGGTGAACGAAGGGACTCCCTATGAGAAGGAGGTGGTGAAGGAGGCTTCAGCCACCAGAGGATGTAAGAAGAAGAGTTTAACAAGCAGACGTCAGTTTATAACGTCTGTCAATCAAAACAGTAACAAAGACGCACTTTGATGACGTCATGAAGGAGTGTGGGATCATGGGAGTTGCTGTCTTTGTTGTTGAACATCACTATAGAGTGCTGCAAAGATGCTGTATCTTTGTAGTCCAACTCAACTCCTCTGCTCTCCCGTTTCATGTTTCCTTGCCTGTTTCCTCTCCTCTCCTGTTTCTTCTGCTCTCCCGTTTCCTCTCCTCTCCTATTTCCTCTCGTGTCCTCTGCTATCCCGTTTCCTCTCCTGCTTCCTTGCCTGTTTCCTCCCCTCTACTGTCTCCTCCCCTCTACTGTTTCCTCTCTTGTCTCCTCCCCTATACTGTTTCCTCTCTTGCCTCCTCTCCTCTCCTGTCTCCTCCCCTCTCAGCTCCAGCTGGTGTGTTCCATCAGATGCTTCAGAACAGACGTCAGCCCAAACTGATCGTGAAGTTAAAATCCTCCAACAGACGAACCAGAACTCAGCTCAGGTGAGAGAAAGAACTCATTAGCTTATTAACAAAACACTAAATCATTACTGTGAGTGTGTGTGAGTGTGTGTGTGTGTGTACTAACTGCTCTGTTCCTCAGTCTCCTCCCTGACTCTCTTCTTCACTGTCTGAGCTGCGTTCCTCTGCTGGCTCTTCACCGACAGCTTCAGGCCGACTCTCTGCTGATGGACAGACCGACCATGCAGAACGCAGGTAACACTCACCTTCATCCTAACAGCAGGTAACACTCACCTTC